TACAATTATGCCTTAAATGTATTTTTGTGCGTTAAGTGAATTATTATGCGTTAAATTTATTATTATATGTTAAATGCATTATTATGCGTTACATGTACAATTATGCCTTAAATGTATTTTTGTGCGTTAAATGTATTATTATGCGTTGAATTCATTATTATATGTTACATGCATTATTATGCGTTACATGTACAATTATGCGTTACATGTATAATTATGAGCTAAATCTATAATTATGCGTGTAATGTAAACATAGATAATATTAGACCACGAGACATAGTAAACTTGGATACATTAATTAATCAAGTAATTAATTAAACAAGTGCATGCGCAATACCGGAGCAGCAAGACGGTAGTCTGGACGCTGACGTGTAAATTTGCTCTGGTTAACCACAGAAATTCATGAACTATTAACCTAACTGAGGGTAAAATGCCCGCAAGAAAATGCAGGTACGTAATTCCATGTTAAATTTGAATTGCATATTAACTACAAACTTAGAAGTGAAGAAGAATCACGAAAATTTGCCATATCTTTAAGGGAAAACGTTTGTGGTGAAGCTCCATGTGCAGTATGAAAATTCTATAATCAGCAAAGTCGAAATTCGAAAACTATTTGTAAAACCTAAATGACATATGAGAGACATGGCAAAAAGCAGGTAAAATTTCTAGTAGAGAACAGCTAAATTCACAAAAATTTCTAGTAGAGAACAGCTAAAGGCGCTGCATTCGAACACAGCTTCTGTTTAGAAATGTGCAACGAATTACATTTTTTGAGGGTAAAGGTAGCATGGTTTCGCCTTCGCAATGAATTTTCATCAATGTTGACAACATTTGTGACGTGGCATATCGGAATGTATAAAAATTTACGAATTTGCAAGCCACAACATGGAAGGAAACCTGTCATTGCTTCTTTAGGACCAAGATAATGACGTTCAAAACTAAGATAATGATGCCCAGTGCCAAAATAATGATGCTCAGTGCCAAGATAATGATGCTCAGTGCCAAGATAATGACGCTCAATGCCAAGATAATGAAATTCCCAACCAAGATAATTATTTCCTAACCAAGATAATGAAGTTTTAAATTAAGATACCATGTTCACAACCAAGACTGATGATTGACCTACATATACAGTTTATGTCCCTCAGTTCTGATCTTATAAATGTTTTTCTATTAACACGCAAACTTGAACCATTTTCCAAACCAAAACTCATAGCACATGGTGATAAATGTCTGGAGAGCAGAGTTGAATGAGTACTAACTTCATTCAAACTAATATTGATATGTAGATACCTATACTACAAATTAAAGAAAAATCTAGAAAAATTCACAGTAAAATTATCTACTTTTTATAGGTATAATTATGACATATCATACATATAGTATCTCCATTGAAAGTTATGATCAATTATTGTAGATGGCTACTATCAAATAAATTACTTAATGCTGATGTTAAACATGTTTGCTTCTGATTGCAATTTTAAATTGCCTAAAAGCAACTCAAATAAATATGCTAAAAATGTTTAACAAATCAATGATGAAACATGCCAAGTGCATGGTGCCTAAATCATATTGTTCTCCACAATTTGACATTATTATACATTCAACTAGCAGTATACTAGAGCAGGCAATTAACTACGGAGTATGGAAACCACTTTTTCAACTACCAGAGACACTTGTCAACTACCGGAGACACTTGTCAACTACCGGAGAACAGAGACACTTGTCAACTATCAGAGACACTTGTCAACTATCAGAGACACTTGTCAACTATCTTCAAAAGCATTATTAACAAGTGTTAAACAATATCAAGAAGATGAGCACCTGCTGGGATACTGCAAATATTAGAGCAGCAGCAACAGCTGAGCAGCCTTATTGAAGTTCAGAACCAATATAATAACATTCAGAACCAAGATAATGATGTTCAAAACCAAGATAATTATGTTCAAAACAAAGATAATTATGTTCAAAACCAAGATAATCATGTTCAAAACTTAGATAATGATGTTTGGGATTAATATCACGATGTTCATTACCAAGATAATGATATTCAGGACCAACATAATGATGTACAGGACCAAGATAATGATGTTCACAGCCAAGATAATGATGTGCAGAATCAAGATAACGATGTTCAAAACCAAGATAACGATGTTCAGAACCAAGATAATGCTTTCAAAAAGTGAGATAATGATGTTCAGGACCAACATAATGCTGCACAAGACTTGGTTGTGAGCTTCACTGTGATTTTATAGGTACAATTCATGTTCATTTGCTGGAGAATGCATTTATAGCAATAATTTCAGTTGAAAATTAGGCCAATGTCAGGAGAAACACAGATTACAGACTTGCCAGGATGTAAATTAATGTAAGCTTTAATCAACACACCAAAGTTTAAATACGGTAAATTATTTATTAAATAAAGACTTTACTTCAGTAGAAAGAATTAGATTAATAATACATCAATAGAGCCAAGTATAAATGTTGAACAATTTAAGTGATCAATGTTCAGGTCTATGGCAAAACTCAATGTTTAGGCACCAGGACCTGACAACACAACTGATAGGCTATCAGTGTGAAGAACTGACTCCAAATTGGACCAGGAAAACTCCGATGAATTTTGCTTCCAAAAATATCTTAGGACTGCCCAGCCTACATGTTAAAATCTAACATTATCAAACATGTCATTTATAAATACTTCAGCAAACATTTAGTCATTGGGATAATGTTGTCAACAAATATACAACAAATATCCTATTTAACTATTTTAATTATTTAACTAACTATTAACTAACTATTTAACTAACTATTACAATTACTGGATTGTAAGATAGAAGCTGCATGTGTTTCATTTGTTTGCATAGACTGCATACTAAGAAAAATATGAAAAACAAAAGAAGCACCAAAACTAACTCTTGTTGGAGAAAAGTTTGGTCTGCTAAGACTTGAAGGAAAAATTATGCAAAGTGCATTCGTACATGTAAATTCTATGAATTTTTTTAGAATGCAGCATTGAAAAAAAATATATAATGAAGTATTTGCAAACTTGTGAAGGTCACAGAATATATATACAACTTAAAGCTTTCTGCTTGGGTATTTTCTATGAATTTCTTCTTAAAGATAAGATAGTAGGTGCAGACACATAAAGAATATAATCATATTAGGGAATTATACTTAAAACAACATAGAATAAACTAATATTTAACCTATGATAATAACTGACATGCATTAAACTCATTTGCACGTTTGAGGGCACAATACCACATGAATAAACATAATTTAAGCAGGTTTCATGGTAGATCAGAGAATTTGTTTTATTGACAATTTTCTTGTTAGTTGTTTCAATATATCAAGCAATATGACATATCACACATATAGTATCCCAAAGGAAAGTTATGATCAATTCATTTGTTCCATTAAATAAATTACTTAAGGACAATGTTAAACATGTTTGCTCCTGAAACTTAAATTGCCTAATAGCATGGACCATCACTCATAAAAATATTATATAAATATCATAAAAATATTATATAGAGGTAGAATAGAAGTGTTGGCACTGAAGAAATAGGCCAAAATAAATTATATATTTTTATGGTCCTGAATATCATCTTGGTACTGAACATCAGATATTTATTGTTTGATATATTGAAAAAACGAATAAGAAAATGGTTTACAAAACAAATTCTCTGGTCTTCAATGAAACCTGTTTAAAAGAACAAATTCTGCTAGCTAATCTATACTGATATAATCTGATAAATTTTGAAAGACAATTTTTGGGATTTAGGAAGCAATTCATGTTTATTTTCATATTCATTATACGGTATACCTAATCTATATTGGAAATATTCCACTTCATGCTTATTTTATGGTAGAATTGTTGAAACTCTCATAAAATCTTCAGTCTCCTCAATTATATCAATACCTTGTTTAGTACAAAATGGATTAATTTCAAGCATGCTTTGAAATGCTATCCTGATATACGTAATTTTAATTATTTCTAAACAGTAGCAGTAGGGCCATCCATGCTCTTGTTTGGCAGGTTATAGTCGGTACTCCCCAAGTTATAATAGCCTGAAGTTTTACAATGTAAATTCATACAGCATTCACTAATGCTTATCCAGAACACAGGACACAAATTGAGTACGGTAATTGACATTAAATTATAGAGAATATTGAGCCACAAGAATTCAAAGTCACATAAAACATCTGATAAAGGTATACCTACATATTATTTAGTAAAATTTTTTAATTTTCCAGTACTCATTACAAATTGTGTGTTTGTATAAATGACAAGAACATTTTTTATTTAAAACATTATAAAAACTCAATTCCCATAAGCATAACAGCTATGTTTGCTTTGCTCCAACCAATTTTGCTGATAGTAATATAAAGGAAACACAGAATAGTTTGATAACATTCAATTGTTGGTTGTTCAGCAAAATGGTTTTAGCAACTAATTGATATTTAATTGAAGTTATCAGTTAACACAAAGACCAAGGATAGCTACAGAAAAAGAAAATGACTTTTGCTTGCTTTATACAAAGAGAAGATGAAAGAAACTTAAGAAAGTAAGCATAGCCCAGAGGCAATGGTCCTGAAGGCTGATTACTATTCTTTATGCTACAGGCAAGAGAAATGTCCATGCTGAACATGCTTAGGATGCATTATAATGCACGTTTCAAAGATCATATATTCTAGCAAATGAATGAGATTGAAACATGAAATCATAAATTTCGGTACTCATCACTCAGCAGTGCCAGTGACGAAGACCACATTGAATTCGCAAAGACGTGTCCAGTTGAAGAAGGCAACGGAAGCGAAATATAATTCACGGCACACCTAATTCAGGTAATTGAGATAAACACGATCACTTCAAAAAAAACTTAACTAGTATAGGAATAGGATCAGCTGAGTGATCCACTCTTGCTGCTAGAACAGCAGCCGATCTATTACGAATTCTCTTTCAAGGAGCATACCACTGAAATTATACAAAAACTTACCCGATCTCTTAAGTGCGCTTGTATTTCTTTGTAGGCCGATTCAGTACACTTAACATGGAATACAGTTTTATTAGCTAAAGAATTGTTGATTATAGCTACACACCCGCTCCCCGACCCCGCCATCTCTACACTGAGGTGAGGTAAGTAGAAGACTGATAGCCAGCAGAAAGTTACGCTAAGTCGGTGGCCAATTCCCTAAAAGTTGGTTTCAGGGAATGATTGATTCACTAATGAAAACTCGGTAGCAGTGATGCAATTGTACTAATCAGTTTCCAAATAATCGATATGGTAACAAGAGATTTCAAAAACTCTTTTTGTTTAGGACCGGACATTTGCACATCACGAAAGTCGGACTATAACTGGACCCAGCCATCCAGGACCATGCCGATTGAACTTTAGGCCTGCAGACGTGGTTTGAAAAAGATGCTTGGTTGCGATTTAGAATTGTAAACAAATTAGTTCTGCTGCACAGTAAAACTTTTGGACAACTGCGTGCTTAGACTTCAATATATTTTTCCAATCTCCAGATAAATTAGAGATACACGAACTGACAGTTTAGAGATACACGAACTGACAATGCTTCTTTCTTGGTGATAATTTCAAGAAAGATTATTTATATATTGAATATCAGCGCAAAAGATTTTATTTTTTTTTGCAGATGAGTGTACTTCACAGCTTCCAATAAACGTGAACTAAAACATTTATTTCTATTTTCTAGAAGAAAATCTTAAAAGCTAAAATTAGGGATATTTTCTTTGCGTAAAACCATGTCATCTACTTTGGAGTTTTCGACTTTTTATTTAAAGATATTATTTCGTATAATCTCATATTCTACGGTTATTCATTTAACAATAATTTCAACGGCGTCAGAGATATTGTTTCTGGATCATACATATCATGGTTGAACCATGATTCACATAGCCTATAATTTGCATGGCAATTGAATTCTCTAGGCGTATTTCGTGCCCTAAAACACTTTGTTTGTTTCTCTCATGACACAACACTTTATTATTGAAGCTCATTTCCTGATTGTTTTCGTCTCTAAACTATGAAAGTAATTTATAGATTATCAAAAAATCGAATGAGATCATTTTCATTTTTATTTTATTATATATTGGATAATTATAATATCATCTTGTACATTTCTTTTCATTGGGTGAGCAATCTAATCGATAAAATTTTCAATTTTCAGCGAAGTGAGGAAATAATATTATTGACCATTTAATACTTAATTCTAGAATTTAAATTGAGTTTGTTTACATTATCTTTTATCTTCGGCAGACGATAAAAAGAACATGGCAAGATCTCCAAAAATATGCTAATTGATGATACAAATACAGTCATTTTATGAGCTATCTTTGCTTAGCACTTTTTTGTTGATGGAAACCTGTCGCCGATTCTTTTCCTTTTCGTGCCTTGCTCACAGAAGATCTAAACTCGTATCATTTGATCGGATCTTTTCACGACTGACGAAAGTTTGAAGTAGCTACTCGACTTCCACCGGGTTCGATATGGTGCTAGGCATTTCAAATCTGAACATATATTTTTTCCATAGCTTTATCTAGTCTGTTCTTGAACGCGTTCATACTTGGAGCGCCAACGATGTCATTGGGGAGGCTGTTCCACATGAAAATGATACGTGTTCAGAAATGAACACGTAAAAAATGAATATTTATTCCAGTTTAACAAAAATCTTATTATAATTGACGATGTTAAAAGTATAAAAAAATCATAGAATATACGAGTCAGGAAAAAAATTGGTCTAAAAAGTAATAAATTTTATATTTTTTATGTTTCCTTTAGCAATGAAAAAAATAATTTTTTTCATATGCCTAATTTCATTCAGATAAATCATAGATAGCTACCTTCGGAATGAGACCATCAGCATAACAACAGCTGAGTCCCAATAGATTATGTCCAGTGCCAGCAGCTCAATGCACAATCTTTTCGCAGGTTACGTGCATTAATTTTCATACATTACTCGCTCCAGATGCCACTAATATCCTTTATGTATCACGCGGCCGCTGCATTATTTAAATTAGGAATGCGAGCCTACAGGAAACGGAAGTAAAGCGTTCCTTCGACAGCTCGGGACTTGCGCGAAATCCTGACCTATTTCCGTGTTGAAATTACCCCAAAACAGGGATATTCTGAATCCTTCACATGAAATCCCTCGATCGCAAGTTTAGTTTGATATATGGTGCTAAAGATGATTTGGACGCACGATAATGATATAAAAAGGCATTATTTTGGAATGATGATGGATTCTATTGCAATTGAAAGTAAAGACATGTATTCGAAGAAAACTCTCCATAAAAAATTATCCATTTGGACAGGGACTACAATATTTCTGCACACAAAATGACCAAAATAAATTTGAAAATTTCCCGCTTTTTACTCCGCATTTTTTTTGCTATGCGGGTATTCAGACTCATTAGACTTGCATTGAATTCATTTGTATCATAGCTATCATGCTTATCATTTATATTGTTACAGTTCATACGTGTGAATATATCTACAAATTTTGAAGATAGCCGGAATCATTATAAAAAAAGTGTGTCATAAACTCGTGAATCACCTTAGCACTGTTGATTATAGAATCTGCTAAATCGCAATTCCATGTTAAGAGTCCTAATTAATTGACAAATCTATGACCCTGATCAAGCTGTCATTCAGATAACAAATGAGTAGCTTGTTGCTTACGTAATTTATATGTTGCGGGTTCTTAAGCTGCGCGAACTTTGGGTGATAAGAAACACATGACTTAATGGAATATTATTTCATTAATAGTTGATAATATTTTATCATTCAATGATGAGTAGAGTGCTTAATATTATAAATTATATTTACTAGACTGTACCTAAATGTTGGTTATTGTTTTTTTTTATACATTTTTGCTATTTTTTTCCACGAGCCGCAATTACACGAGACATATTTTACATTATTATTGTGACATAAAGATAGCTTACGGTTATTCACTAATTCTTCACCACATTTAATAAAACTTCACACTAGTTACTCAACTTTTGAGACAGATAGCTAAATTTTTATCACATATTCATACTTTCTGGCACCCAACATTTTTTTAATGGGATTTACTGTTCAAGTTGAATAATGTAATTTGCAGTCCTTTGAGTCTAAATCCAGGAAACGTGTGCACGAAATTAACAAGTTAGGCATTAATGCGTCAAACCTGACTAACTATAACTCTTGAAAACTTGATTATAAACACCAAAATAATATTGTTCCCAAACACACTCCAAAGATCAGCATTCAGACAATAATGAAATTTATTCACTTGTAATAAATGATAATATATCGACACTGCAGAATTTAAATAAAAATTTCGAAAATATTGGAGTTGAGGCGACGCTTTTCTCTCCGTCGTCTTCTCAGAGATCTGTGGAAGAAAAATGAACTTTATGTCGTACTTTGTTATTAATTAACATTATACGTTTGATAATTAAGTTGGACTGTGAGTTGTAGTCGAAGAAAATTAAATACGATTAAAATATGAAGCACCTCATGACTAATTTTTATTTCATTATGATAGATGACTGGAAATATATAAGAAATATCCATGCGATTATGTTCGAAAATAAACATCTTTCGATGAGATTCATGAATTGTCGAAAGTTGTTTCATTTTTTGATTCGATTTAAATTTTAAGTTGGACCAATTTGTTGCCAATCAAACGCCACGTGTCAGCTTCTTCAGGCTCTTTTCACGCGAGTTACAATCCCCACGAATAAAAAAACATACGCAAGTCCTATTCAGCAGGATAGTTGATAAAATGATCATATGTAAGTCCTATTCAGCAGGATAGTTGATAAAATGATAATATGCAAGTCCTATTTAGCAGGGATGTTGATAAAATGATCATATGCAAGTCCTATTCAGCAGGATAGTTGATAAAATGATCATAAGCAAGTCCTATTCAGCAGGATAGTTGATAAAAATAAGCATAATTAAGTCCTATTCAGCAGGATAGTTGATTAAATGATCATAAGCAAATCATATTCAACAGGACAGTTGATAAAATGATCATAAGCAAGTCCTCTGTGCTGTTCGGCTGAGAATTTAGTCGAATGACAAATTAATGGACAACAATTTTTTGAGCACAATTGATTTGACGAAAAGTGAATGAACTTTTCTCAAATTCTGACGACGTAGACGGGATATATAATTGTGTAATGGATTCCAGGGAGGTTGTATGGGGTTAATCAGGATATTGAAGTCTAATCAGGCTCAGAGCGTTTGGCGTTATTATACAACCCTTTCAGAAAAGTAGTAATGAATGAGATAATTTTACAGCGAGTAGCTCAAATCTGAAATAATTCATACAGATAAGCATTATTGTACTAATCTGTTTCGAGTGTTTTTTCTTTTCATGTGTCATATATATACCCACGGACAGGAATATGAACTACGTGTGAAATTCAGCAAAGCTGGCCTCCAGCATGCGTCTCCCAAATGAAAGGCTCAAATTTAAAACCCGGCGTTACACGAACTGGGATAAATTTTCATGCCAAACAATGACAGAGTTCGGGCATGGAGGTTGCCAACATTCTTCTCTATTTGAAGGGCGGAAGGAAGATAGCGCTGGTGTAACATGTCTACGCGATGTCTCCATAAATACATGCACAATATTCAAATGAATGATATGCATACATTTTCTGATACTATGAGATAGACATTAATGTGAAGAACCGTCACATATATGAATCTACTTCAACGCGACCGTAAAAGGTTCAGTATAAATTATCAATGGTAGGTCACCCGCAGGTTTATCAACGTCACGTACGGAAAATGTGGGGAAATACTCGAAGGAAAAACATCTCTACTGAGTGAATAGAGAAAAAAGCTATGAAAAAAAAGGAAAAAAAGGTCTAAGCGGTTTGAAACTAGAAGCGAACGGTCAGCAACTATCAGGAGGAAAGTCAAGCCACAGTGAGAAAGACATTTAGTGTTTATTAATTCACATTCACTGGCGTATTTATAATGCTAAAGACTATATTAAGCAGTAAAATCAACATCTATCTATAATAACACACAACTACGATGTACAAGCTTATTACAAACACAAAACGAAAGGAACATCCCGACGAATTAGTGAAACTAATTATAATGTGCTAGTAAGTTTATCATTCTTCGACCCCATAAACAGTTCAAGATAGAGATTGTTAAAGCTAAAGCAATGATATCGAACAATATTCGTATTTATAACAACGTTCAACAATTCCGAGGTAATTTTCGTTTTCAGTTCTCCTTTCGGTTTCCTATAATAAAGGTTTTCATTAAAAACCAAAACGAGTGACTCTGATCTATAATCCTGTATAGACCTGGTCACAGAGTCATTTTTTGAAGAGAAAAAATCAATTAGTACGAATTTGGTCGAAGTATTTACCGCAGAAATGGCCGTGGCATAATTAAATAGGTGTTTGAAACACACTCCGGACTTCACCTTAAGACCGCGTTGTATATTCAGGATGCACGAGACCGGTAAAAAAAAATACTTTAAAATTAGAAGCTCAGTTCTTTCGTCACGAATTATGTAGTTTTTGTTTTTGGTTTTCATTATACCAAGGAAATACAGCGTTAATAATACATCATAAAATGCCTCGCAATGTCAATCATTCCTTAATAACAACCAATGTCAACATAATTAATAATCTTCATGTAAAATCTATGAAGCGCGTCTGCTGCTGGGTGAAAGTTATAACACTTAAGATCCCTCTCAAGTGATGTACTAAATACTGTGGTATACATTGATAATAATTAAAAATTTAGTTGCCCGCGATATACGTTGGTAAAAATGTGAAGCCAAAAAGGTTATTTTCGTAGCTGTGACGTAATTGGGTTTAGACGATTTGCTTCAACTTTCGATATATGTTTAATAGACGTAGAAATATAGACAGTCACTGCCACGGACGAGATATATTATAATACGGGTATCCAAGGTATTCAGATAATACGCTTAGCCAAAGACAGTCCAGATGTTGCCGTATTCTCGTATAGGCGCCCCGATGCATTTCAACTAAGATACTAAAATTGCGACAATGTGGTTGACATGAGACGTGCGCAGCCACGACGCATAAACAGAGCAGTGTATTTTAAATGTTACTATACAGAATGCAGATATACATAAGGCAGACCTATAATAGCATTCGTATCAAAAGCGTTACCAATGTCCATGATTGCTCCGTTCAGACATCTGCTTCAACTATCCATTTCTGCTTCATTTAGACATCAATAATCAAAAATAGCTTTGTTGAAGCGATCGAGCTTCCTTGAGAAGAGTTCAATCTTTAATTCGTATTCTTTCCTGCATTTGTTAAATTAACAATGTTTATACGGTCATTTGAACTTCACGCTTGTACAATTATAACTTAGTCATGTATAATGTTACAACATAGAACTGAAAAACAAAAAAATGCTAAAAAAAAATCCACCATCTATTTATTGAAAACATTTCGGAGTTCATCTCCCCCGTGAATTTGAAAATCCTAGATGTTGTTGAATTGACAAAACTTTTCAATGATGACATTATGAAATTTCGAGGTTTTTTCTTTTCCTGTTAAAATATTAGCTGATTTAAGATTCAAGCTATGAAGAAATCATGTAAATTCATGTATCTAACACGGGTTTAAAGTTGAGTCAATATTCATATTAAAAAATAATTCCAGTTAATTTTGTTGTGATTGTATGCGCGATTTACCTGTTGTTTAGTTTCCAATGGCTCTTTTTGAACTAAATTTTGATGCGGTAAAATGTTGAATGTTTCTGTCAATATATTTCGCTTCAATGAAATGAATCTTTAGAATCATTATAGAAGCCCAATAACCTCATAAATATTCTTTCCAGATAAGATAACATCGAATTTTTTGTGGTATACTTTCTTTCAAAGAATCTGGCTGAATTAATTGGAGTGCAACCAACCGCCATTATTTAATTTAATATCATTCATGATTTAATATCATTACAACGTAATGAAATAAATTTGAGTTTTATTCGTTGTGATACTCCATTTGGCGGCTGACAAGGAATTCTTTTAACTTTTATTCTGATGGAATAACTTTTTTAAATAACTTTTTAAAGTTATTTAGGAATTCACAGTGAAAAAGTGAACAGATACTGATATTTGCTGATGAATATACGTCGTCATAATTTAAATAAAATGCCCGAATTATTTTTAGTGGTCTGTGAGACGCGTCTCCTAGGATAGTTTAGGATTACGCTAAGCATTAATACTTGCATGACGCGCGTTAGATGAAATAGTGTATACTGCACTGTGAACATAGACACATATATATAGAAGATATTTATAACCTAAAACCATGAATAAATTAGTCAAGGCTGATGAATAAAATTCAACTCAGTAGAATGATAGATGCTAATAAAAACCGACATTTGTTTGTCGACTGAAGTTCAATGATGATAGAAGGCTGGTAATTAAGTCAATTACTCTATGACGCACTAGAAGCACGAGTAATGAGTCAATTAATCAAAACAATCATGCACGGTGAGCGTTTATAATTCAAACACGTTCAGATCAATACCTAAAATAACTAAAACTGGTATCATCCAATCACAAAATATAGTCTCTCATTCATGTTTCTAAGACACATTACAACGCTGATTCACGCACCATCATTAAACACAGTCTAATTAATAGTTAAGACATGTCAAACTCCTTCAAATCGTGTGAATGCAAGTAATTATGTTCAATTCACTATAAATAATAAACGCAATACTGAAGGTAGATTTAATCTACCAGCCAAAAGACAAACTCATAAATATACGGTACGGTAGAACTTATAAGTCAGAACCGGCGTACGAGTTTGAAACTTTAAATATGTTGGAGTTTAATTGTAACTCTAAATCGATTAAATTTGATTCCTTGATTCAGTCACAATGATAATTTTGAGCGCATTTTCCCATTTATGAAAAAAGACGCTATTGTGCTCGTCATGTCCGTCCGTCCGTCCGTGACGGACGGACGGACGTGTAAAAATGCGCTCTCTGTCACTCACTGCAGCGAGTACTGATCTAATTTTTGAATTAGTGCGGATGGCGAGAACGCAAACTGGACTATAATGCTAATCATCTGCTCTTCCATGCTGCCCTGCGGCCGATTGTGTGGGCCACGTTATGCCGCTTCACAAATTTTGAATTCCGTCCATAATAATCATAGTCATCATCATCATCATCGTCATCATCATCATCGTCATCATCACGTCGATGAGCAGACCGTTTTAACGTACGCCAAGTGTCATTGAACCCTGTTTTAAGTTTACGTTTTTCCTGTTGTTTACGCTTAAGTAGTTTTTGTGCGTCCCGTAAACGTTTCCTAAGACTCGCCCTATCGAAATGCCAGTCGGACCGCTGGTCCGCAAGCCGCTTCTCGTTTCGGTCTTTGGCCCGGTCGAAAAGCCAGTCAGACTTGCCACTCTCGAGCCGCCGTTTGGACCTTTCTTGTGACCTCAACGATCTCCAGTCATTCTTATCTTCTTTCTCAGGCAGTGATACATCATTACTGATTGCCGATATCTCTATTCCTTTCAATGATCCCTCTTTTTCTTTCACCGATTTCTCTTTTCCTTTAACTGATCCCTCTTTTCCCTTCACCGATCCCTCTATTCCTTTCACTGTTCCCCTTTTTGCACTCCCCAATGCATCTTTTTCGTTTCTAGATCTCTCTTTCTCGCTCACCAATTTTTTCCCCTCACTCACTGATCCCGATTTCTCTCCAAGCGATCCCTCTTTTCCACCCTTTAATCCCTCTTTCCCACTCGCCAAACCCCGCATGTTCAACCCTGTGGGGTTCTCACCCCCAACCTCACCCTTGCGACGGATGAATTGTTTCGACGAATTTGATTCATTTCGAAGATGACGCTTAGACGGACGCTCCCAGTGACGTACAAGGCTGCTAGGCTTCTTCTTGAATGATTTTTCATCATCATCATCATCGTCGTCTTCTTCATCATCGTCTTCTTCATCATCGTCATCATCGTCTTCGTCATTTTTACTTCTTCGTTTGTTCTTCAAGCGATTTTTCGATGGGTGACGCTTGCTTGCAGTCTTATTCTTGTTGTAATGGCCTTTGAAATATTTGCTTTCCGGAACAGGTTTCGCGCTTGATTTTTTCCCCACTGATTTCTTGGTTTCTTTTTGTTTTCCCTTGAGATCTTTTTGGCTGTTTTTATCTTCAGACTTCCGATTCTTTTCTGCTTTTCCTATTTTTTCTTTAGACTTTTTGCGCTCAGCAGGTCGATTCTTGCCGTCTTCTTTGCCTGATTTGTCTAATTTCTTCTCACTATTTCCTTTTTTCTCTTCGATTTTATCTGTTTTATGTACTTTTTTCACAGTTTCCTTATGCTCTTTTTTGCTGATACTTTCGCGATTTTTTTCATCCTTTTTCTTTTTCTGTTCTTCTCCTTTCCCGTGCTTTGCATTTACGGAAACAGTTCTCTGATCCACATCCATATTTCCGGACTGAGTATCATCCACATGGGCGGCCTCCGTGGCATTGGCTGAATCTTTTTCATCCACGGCAATCACCGACACTTCATCCACCGCACTTCCATCCACTGCATTTTCATCCACCGTAATTTCTACATCGTCCGCCATCATCTCCTCGGCCAGACTTGCGTCGATGGCGGTCAGATCGATTTCGTCCTGTGGAAAATAAACATTATCTTAAACAATTATTGTCTATTAGTAAATGATTTTTCAGATCTAAGAAAATAATTAGCTTGGCGTCGATATGAATACTACGCAATGAAAATAAAATAAAGATATTTCAAATAAAGGAATAAATTCAAGTCGTTGGATTGTTAGTTTTTACAATGTTGGGAGAAAAGCGGCAATAAAACTTTGCCTTTGCCGTTGCCGTTTTGCAATAAAATAAAGCCGTTGTAATCGCATGCAAAAACAGCAGCTTACTTTTTGAAAAAACAATCAAATTCCTTATGGCATTTTTTGAGACGATTGGATCGACAGAAAAAAATGGACTTCCATTTCCTTTTCGACATTGATTATCAATTTGGAATTTTATTTAGGGATAAGCATAAAAAAATGTTATGCCGACATATCATAAACAGTGGGAGAAAAAATCGGGATTGAAAAAAATACAACACCTCGTCAAAATTTCACCCAAGATTGGAGAGATGCGCTCGAAATAAAAAATATTAAATATAAATTCAAAACGGGTTGAATAAGTGATGGAAAATGTGTAAAAAATTCACACATCGGCAACGACTCACAATAGCCGTAGCGATTACGATAAATCTTGCGAGCCGCGCTTGTCTGCAAGAAGAACGTGTTATTCAGGAGTCTATACGTTTTAAATATACGTTCAAAAAGAACGTGTTATTCAGGAGTTTGTATGCGCAAGCTGTGACAAGCAAAACACTCAGAGAAATCAATGAGACTTTGTCTAAATGACGATGCACTTTTTCCCGTGTGAATGTGTGAGAAAAATATTGCTAAAAATGCAAAAACAATCCGAAAGCCTTCTTTTTGTACGCTAGTTCTAAGTGTAAGTCAAAGGACGGTATATCTGATTTGAAAGTAGGCCAACGAAAGATCTCCTCTGATGAGGGCAAGGCTAACTTTCTTAATCATTTCTTCAGCAGTGTGTTCACAGATGAGGACTTGAACAGTATTCCAGATATTGAGGATCGAGCGCCCAGTCGGCTCGAAGTTAATATGTTTTGAAATACACGAAGAAGAGGTTCTCAAGCGCCTGGTAGCTCTTAATCCCAACAAGTCATGTGAACCAGACGGCTTCCATCCAAGATTGCTCAAATAATTAGCAACCGTTCTGGCCGGACCATTGACAGTACTCTTTCAAAAAACCTTGAACGAAGGAACTTTGCCGTCCGACTGGAAAGAAGCTCAAGTAACACCATTGTTCAAAAAAGGTGACAAAAGCAGCCCCGGCAACTATCGCCCTGTCAGTCTGACAAGTGTTGTTTGTAAGCTAATGGAATCTGTTGTGAGGATTAGGATTATCGATCACTTGACTACTCACCATCTCGTATCAGATTGTCAACATGGTTTTATCGCCGGTAGATCCTGCACCACTAACTTATTATCTACGTTGAACGATTGGACTCGCCTGGTGGACGAAAGGGAGCCAGTGGATGCATTGTACCTCGATTTTGCCAAAGCATTTGACAGTGTTCCACATGAGCGGCTGTTACGTAAAGTGAAGTCTTTGGGAATTGAGGGAAACGTACTCCAATGGATCAGAGATTTTCTAGTAGGTAGACGACAACGTGTCAGTATTAACGGAACCGTGTCAGACTGGGCGTCAGTGCGCAGTGGCGTTCCACAAGGAAGCGTTCTTGGGCCGATTTTGTTCGTTGCTTTTATAATCGATTTGCCAGAAGCAGTCTCCAGCGTGTGCTCCATGTATGCCGACGACACAAAAGTTTATAATACAGTGAAGGATGCGTCAAATAAAGCGCAATTACAAGATGATTTTGACAGCTTAGTTAACTGGGCTGATACGTGGCAGCTGCGGTTTAATGCTGACAAGTGTAAAGTACTTCACCTCGGGAAGAACAATGAACAGCAAGATTACAGTATGAGAAGACATGGTTGCAACGAGAGAGTAATGATTGAAAAGTCTAGTGTGGAAAAAGATCTCGAAGTTTATGTGGACAAGGAGCTGAAATTTTCTAAGCATGTTGAAACGCAAGCTAACACATCCAACAAACTTCTTGGACTAATCAGACGTTCATACGAGTTCCTATGCAGAAGCGATGAAGCAGTTGTTTGTTGCTGTCGTGCGCCCGAATCTAGAGTTTGGAAACGTTGTGTGGTCACCGAGATTTGAAAAGGACAGAAATTTACTGGAGAATATTCAAAGACGTGCAACAAGGATAATTCCAGGCTTGAAGGGCAAGTCCTATGAAGAAAGATTGAAGATTATGAAGCTTCCAAGCCTCAGTTATCGACGTCTGCGTGGGGACCTCATTGAAGTATACAAGTATACTCATGGTCTATACAAGGTCCCTGAAGGATTACTAGAATTTGAAACAAGAACCAACACCAGGGGCCACGGCTATAAACTAAAAAAACTGCGCTGCAAATTCTCCACGCGACAACATTTCTTTTCGCTTCGAATCACCGACATGTGGAACAGCCTCCCCGATGACATCGTTGGAGCTCCAAGTATGAACGCGTTCAAGAACAGGCTAGATAAAGCTATGGAAAAATATATGTTCAGATTTGAAATGCCTAGCACCATATCGAACCCGGTGTAAATCTAGTAGCTACTTGAAACTATCGTCAGTCATGAAAATATCCGGTCAAATGAAACGATATTAGATCTTCTGTGAACAAGGCACGAAAAGGAAAAGAATCGGCGACAGGCCACATCAGGCCTACACTTCAGCACCGAGATCAATATGTTATATGTTATGTGTGGACCATCCGTACCCTGTTTTACATGACATAAGGGCGGATCAATCCTACATTCTGTTTGTACTTGGGATAAAAAAAATCTGTCAAGATTTGGACACTATGACGACTTAAGTTTTCTGAGAGAAGCCTGGGCATTGTGGGCAATGAAGATCATAAGGGAAAAATTTTTTGATAATAAATTCTATCGGAAATTCAGCTTAAACCTTAAATACGCGTTCAATTTTAATCGCATTCCTAAATTGGTTAAATTTTATTCATTGATGAAGATACTAAGACAGTTTCTATAAATTTGGAGCGGTTGGAGAGAATGAAAATTGACCTAACGTTCACCTAATGAGAATTTTACATTCTCATTTGATATTCCTGCGGCTAGCCTCGTGAGTTGTACAAGCCTGCGTTCCGTATTAATTAAAGTTCAACGTACACAAGTGGACAAACTTTTACGTCTCTAATAAAATTTCAATGAAATTGTAGTCAGTAGTCTGAAATTAAGTTACGTTTTAGTTTATTCTTGAAAACAAAAAAACTTTTAAGTCACCAAAAAATTAAGTTTGAGCTCATTTCTGAGTAGATTAAGTCTGCTAGCGGAGCTTTCCATAAGAACACTTCTATGAATTTGAATGTTTCTTATTTCGATTGTTTTATACGCGTGCATTCCACTGAAATTTAACGAGGCAATTAGTAAACTTCTAAGATGTGACTGTTCTGCTTGTTTTTTGGTTAGTAATCCATGTGGAATTATTTCTAGCTTAAAGAAATGTACGAGTACTATTACGATGAAGGATTAATTAAAATAGGAAATTTGTAGAACTGTTCAAAAGACTCAATCGAAAATGACAATATTATTTCATCGCGTTTACTGATCCCAAGCATTATGAAATGAGCGAATTTTAGACTTGAATGCTAAAATAATATTTAGATTCAAACAAAAAAGTTATCAATGAACGATTTACTTTCAAATCGTGCGCCAAATAATTTTATTTAATTCAACTTCCAAATTATAGCGTTGTTTTAAATTAACGAAATACATTGGACGGTTTATAAGGGCAAGAAGAATGGCGGCGCTTGAGTAATGCTACAGAAGCTCAGAATATTTATAAGATTTTCTTGAAACAGAAAAATTTATTAAAAAGGAAACACCAGTAGAGTACTCAAATTAATATGAAAATAAAATAAAAACGACGGGCATCTACACAGGTAAATTAAAACGTAAACTTTACGAAAATTTAAATATTGATTACCTAAACTAGAGTAAAGGTATTTATTATGAACATTTACTATGAACTCTACTCAAATTTACAAACATATACTCTTATACGTAAAAAGATGACTGTCTAGCCATTCAAAATTCATTCTTAGAAATTGCGAAGTAAAATAAATACAATTAATATCAAATATAAAGCCACTGCAGGAGTATTTGTTTGCAGAATTATACACTCCATCCAGAAAAAAGGCCTTACTAGCACTAAGTAGCAGAAACATCGACTTGTACATAATATCTGCATAGAATAAATAAATTAATATAAATATAAAATAACATAAAGCAACTACAAACGTAACTGCGTGCAAAATTCTACATAACTCACTAAAAATATTTCGCATCAATATACACCAAATGCAAACTTCAACACCAACTTTAAGTAACTTAAACAGCAAGTTTAAGTAACTCACCTCGAGCTGAGTCCAAGTCTTGGCGAAATGCGAGTCCAGCGAAGTAAGTTTATCCGACAAAGCCGTGGCCGTTTTGTCCACGGAAGTTTGGCCGCGCTTGAGCAGCGCCGTATGCGCGATGTCCTTCAGTTTAGTGACGACGTTCACCAGCACTCGGTTCATCTTCGTCAGGGTCTCGCGGCCCACTGCCTTCAGGTTCTCAGGCTCGCTCAGTAGCTTCAGCTACAGCAGGATACAGTGATAACAACAGTATTGACTAAGTATTAAGGTGATAATAATGATATTGATTAAGCATTAGGGTGATAAGAGCGGTATTAACTAGTCATCAAGGTGGTAACAACGGTGTTGATTAGGCACTAAGGTGGTAACAACGTTATTGATTAAGCATTAGGGTGATAACAGCGGTATTGAATAGGCATTAAGGTGATAACAGCGGTATTGACTAGGCATTGAGGTGATAACAACGGTATTAACATTAAGGAGATAACAACGGTATTGACTAGGCATTAAGGTGATAACAACGGTATTGACTAGCCATTAAGGTGATAACGGTATTGATTAAGCATTAAGGTGATAATAAAGGTATTAACTAAGTATTAAGGTGATAACAACGGTATTGACTAGCCATTAAGGTGATAACAACGGTATTGACTAGGCAATAAGATGGTAACAACGGTATTGATTAAGCATTAAGGTGATAATAAAGGTATTAACTAATCATTAAGGTGATAACAACGGTATTGACAACGGTTTAGCAATAAAAATTTATCTGTTTGGAACTTGACTATTGGTAAGACGGTATTAATAGACATGGGTGCGAAAAAATGTTCATAAATAACTCTATTTTCGATCAAAACTCTTATTATTATGTTATTTTTTGCTATTGAATAATGAATACTTTGCATATAAACAACTGTAACTTAAAATTGGTATTTTATTACTGGTTAAGCAGACGATTTGTGTTAATCGGGCCGGCCCTCTCATAACCCCTTCACACCCCTATGCTGACTCCCATTCATGACCCGCCCTTCACCCCCTTCACCTGACTCCCCTTCATGACCAGCCCTTCACCCCCTTCACCTGACTCCACTTCATGACCAGCCCTTCACTCCCCTTCATGACCAGCCCTTCACCCCCCTCACCTGACTCCACTTCATAGCGAGCGCTTGCTTCAGGTCCTCGAATTTCGCTCGGCCCTGACGCAGCTTTTGCTCGACCTGCAGGAGCAGACGTTACTTTACTGCTACTTGATCTTGTGGCAATGGATATTATTATTATTTAGAATATATTGTCATTTAATAGATTTATACAATACAATATATTGTAACTTTCCTGCCACTTCATCTTGTTGCGATGGAAGTATTATATTGTATTATTATTTTATTCGTATTATTATTTTATTTGCATTATTATTTTATTTGTATTATTATTTTGTTTGTATTATTATTTATTATATTATTTGGAATGAATTGTCATTCAATAGATTTATATAATATAACATATTGTAACTTTGCTGCAACTTCATGTTGCTGCGATGGATATTATTATTATTTAGAATATCTTGTCATTCAATATTGTTATACAATATAATAAATTGTAACTTTACTGCATCTTGTTGCGATGGACATATAATATTGTATTATTATTATATTTGTATTATTATTTATTATATTATTTAGAATATATTGTCGTGCAATATTGTTATACAATATAATATATTGTAACTTTGTTGCAATATACTCCGCAGGCGGGATGCCACTATACTATTCGTACCCCAGGCAGGATGCAACTATGCTATTCGTACCGGAACCATGTTCCACTATGCTAATCCTCCCGGAACCATGTTCCACTATGCTATTCGTACCGCTGGCAGCTTTCACTATGCTTTTCTTACCACAGGTGGAATGCCACTATGCTATCCGTACCAAAACCATGTTCTACTATGCTATTCTTACCACAGGTGGGATGCTATGCTATTCGTACCGGAACCATGTCCCACTATGCTATTCTTCCCGGAACCATGTTCCACTATGCTATTCGTACCTGAATCATGTTCCACTATGCTATTCTTACCACAGGTGGGATGCTATGCTATTCGTACCGGGACCATGTCCCACTATGCTATTCCTACCACTACCACTATTCCACTATGGTATTCCTACCGCAGGCGGGATGCTGGAGGCTTTAGGCGCAATCTCTGTGAAGACGTCGGCTGCGATGTCCAGCTTCCCGAAGGCGCTCGCCTCGCCGAACTGATGCAGCGACGCCATCGAGGACAGCACCTGCAGCATAAACGCTCGGTTACTGACACTTACAGTCCAAGTATTGTGTATTTCTTGTCATACTTTCATTGTATCTTCATAATAAATAGGCATTGAATTCTTTGACATCCACTAGTAATTTGTTTCCAGTCAAAATATTGTCCATTTCTTGTCATACTTTCTTTTAATCTTCATAATAACCGACACTTCCAGTCAAAATATAGTTCATTTGCTGTCATACTTTCATTGAATCTTCATAATAAATAGGTATTGAATTCTTTAATATCCTCTATTAATTTATTTCAAGGCAAAATATTGCCCATTTCTTGTCATACTTTCATTGAATCTTCATAATAACCGACACTTTCAGTCAAAATATTGTTCATTTATTGTCATACTTTCTTTTAATCTTCATAATAACCGACACTTCCAGTCAAAATATAGTTCATTTGCTGTCATACCTTCATTGAATTTTCAAAATAACGATTTATTGCCTTCTTTAACATGCTCTATTAATTTGTTTCCTGTCGAAATATTGCCCATGTCTTGTCATACTTTCGTTGAATTTAAAAAAAATATGTATTGATTTTTTAGCACCTGCAGCGGCCACGCTCGGTTAAGGTGCTTGTACACGTGGACAGCACTGGCGGCTAGTAGATCAGAAAAATGCCAAATGTCTGCCGCTTGTTGTCTATCCCGCCAGTAAGCTTAGACACGAGGCAAGTTTAAGGGCCGTCGTGTCGGTATCTAGTCGTTACCGGCACGGCGGCACTTGTCGCACTTGTCGCTTACTTAATTGCGGGATAGACACCAAGCGGCAGACATTTGGTATTTTTCTGATCTACTAGCCGCCAGTACTGTCCCCGTGTACAAGCACCTTATCCGACACTTCCAGTCACAATATTGTTTATTTGTTGTCATACTTTAATTGAATCTTCATACTAACCGACAGTTCCAGTCAATATATTGAAACATTGTCCATTTCTTGTCATACTTTCATTGAAACTTCAAAATGAAGATTTATAGAATTCTTTAACATCCTCTGGTAATTTTTTTTAAACCCTCTGAAATAATGATTTAATGAATTTATTAAAGGTCCAAATTGAATTAGTGAAATTATTCAAAGTAGCGAAACAGTAAAACAGTATTAATAGAGTTAGAGATCTTTTGGTAGTGAAGTAAGTGTAGGTATTTCACTTCCTCTCATGATTTTCCATACATGTTGTCCAAATTATATATGAATTTTTAGAATTTTTTTCAAGGTAGAAAAGTAAGGGATTTACCATAATATCTCATTGAATGTGATATACATAACGTATCCGTCTCATAAAGGTGACAGGGGATTTACCACAATAAAAATAATTACCATAATAAAAAAGAAGGGATTTACCATAACATATCTTTTTATGCAATATAACGCACTTGTCCCATGAAGGTGACAAGGGATTTACCATAATAAAAATAATAACCATACTATACCTAATTACCCAAATAAAAAAGAGAAAGGATTCACCATAATATCTCTTTAATCCTTACCATAATATCTCCAGCAGCTATCTCAATCAATCGTCAGTTATGGAAAGATCGGGTTCCAAAGGCCGGATCCCTTGTGAATCAAGTCACGAAAAGTTCAAGAATCGGCAACAGGCCATGGGCCTATTTCTTCAACGCCGACACTTCTATTTTATTCTATTCTATTCTATTCTATTCCATTCCATTCCATTCCATTCCATTCTTTCTATTCTATTCTATTCTATTCTATTCTATTCTATTCTATTCTATTCTATTCTATTCTATTCTATTCTATTCTATAACGCACTTGTCCCATGAAGGTGACAAGGGATTACCATAATAAAAAGAATTACCATACTATAACTAATTACCAAATAAAAAAAAGAATAGATTTACCATAATATATCTTTTTTATGTAATATAACGCACTTGTCCCATGAAGGTGGCTAGGGATTTACCATAATAAAAATAATTACCATACTATAACTAATTACCCTAATGAAAGAGAATAGATTTACCATAATATATCTTATTATGTAATTTAACGCACTTGTCCCATGAAAGTGACGTAGTTCCTGGCGTTGTAGAGGTTGGGTGGAGGGTTGCTCTTAAGACTTGCATCGTTGACCTGCAGCACGAGGCCTTCCACCTCCCGCGACACGGCCTCCAGCTCCCGCGGCAGCGCCACCTTCAGGTCATATGCGAACATCGTAGCGAAATTTAGCAAAAAAAAAACATAAGATGAAATACCAAGAAAAAATTAATGAATCTTTTAAAAAATTTAACTTATAATTTAATCCTTGCGGATTTGTTAAACCCCGAACTTGAAAGATAATCTACAAAAATGTAACTCGGTACTCACTGCAGTGAGTGACAGAGAGCGCATTTTCTCGTCGACGAAAACTTAAGGTCACGGACGGACAGACAGACGGACAAACAGACGGACATGACGAGCACAATAGCGCCTTTTTTCCATAAATGAAAAAATGCGCAAAAAGAAGCATTCGACATGGAAAATTAGTTTAAAGATTGAAATGTTAACATTAGTAGCGAGAATGTAGTTCTTTGTTAGTTGTTGAGATGATTTTTCACGTAAATTAATTTTGGAACATTTAAATTTCAACAAATATTTTAAACGGCAGTACCTCAGCCCTTCGCTCCTCTCTTTTCACACAAACTAACAGTAAAACTCAAACGCATTTGCACCCTTTCCCACATTCACCATATCCACCATTCAAACCCACTAGTTAATTACCCACCCACCCCTCGATCCACCATTGAAGCTCACACAACCCACCCTAAGACCACCAAACTCACCACACAGCAGAAGTATACATGGCCTACTCTGCGTGAGCTCACTCTCCCCGCAAACACTAAAAAATGCAAGAAAGATATTGTCCAAATAGTAGCACACTTTCGGCACGAAACCTTGACACACCATCTTACCGGTCCAAACTGCATGGCTATTTGGATAAATTCTCACTCATTTCTCTGAGTGTCTCCCTTACTCGAATAACTCACCCCATATCCTCCAACCCAACCCCCCCCCCCCAGTTGACCCCCCCCAGTTGACCCACCCTCCTGTACTTGTAGTCAGCGTAAGCTATTTTGAGGTCGTCGTTCTCCTGCCTGAGCTCAGCCAGGGAGTTCTGGAGGTCAGGCACGTGAGCTCCCAGGTGCCTGGGGGGAGCGAACCTCATCAATGCAAATATTGACTTCTCTTATATACACTTCTATTATATTGACTTTACTACTACATACTCATATTAATTAAACTTGCAGCATTAATATTAATTTTGAAATATCAAAAGGACGCGTTGACTAAAAAAATACGAAAACCACAGGGACAGTAATTAAATGCATCGCCTCATGAAGAGGTTCACTCATTTATTTGAGGACCATTAATACCAGAGTTTTTGGGACCATTAATCCAATAATACCTTTGGGACCATTAATACCTGGTTTTTGGGACCATTAATCCCTTTGAGACCATTAATACCTGAGTTTTTGGGACCATTAATCCCTTTGGGACCATTAATACCTGAGGGACCATCAATACATTTGGGACGATTAATACCTGAGTTTTTGAGTCTGGGTTCGGAGTCGATGGTTCTCCAGGATAGCGTCAGTGAAAGCCGCCGTTTGTACGGCGGTGGGCGCGTTTTCGTCGAGCCAGAGGCGGCCGACCGACAACCGCAGGTCCTCGTTATCAGCGATGACGTGCTGCACGGCCTGCCGCAACTCGCGCGCTCGAGCGCCTTCTTTGCCGTAGACTGTACACGTGTTTAGACAATGAAATTAATTACAATGATCCCTCCTAGATAGATTGTAAGCACGTTAAGACAGGACTACTGAAGATCCTTTTTTGCCGTAGACTGTACAAGTGTTTAGACAACGAAATTAATTACAGAGTTCCCTTCTGGTAACATTGTAAGCACGTTAAGACAGGATTACCAAAGATCCTTTTTGCCGTAGACTGTACACGTGTTTAGACAAATAAATTAATTTAAATCTTGCCTTCTAGCTATAATGTAAGCACGTTAAGACAGGATTACCAAAAACCCTTCTTTGCCGTAGACTGTACGCTAAAATAAAAGGAAAATTAATTTAAACGGTAAGAGAGCAAATACAATGAAATTGATTATCATAGACCATTCTTTGCGTAGACTATACACGTGCGAGGACAGGGAAATTAGTAGGAAAGTTCCCTTCTAGAAAGCCTGTAAGCAAACAAAGACAATGAAATTGATTACGAAAGACCCATTTTTACTTTAGACTGTACACGGTCGGAGAAGAGAGCGAATCGATCACCAACGACACATTTGCCGTAAGCTGTAAACGCCTGATGACATGAAATTGATAACCAAAGACTCATGCAACACGGACGGTGTGCGCTAGAAAACAAACAGTGTGTAAGAAAACAGTGTATAGTGTAAGAAAACAGTGTATAGTGTAAGAAAACAGTGTATAGTGTATTGATGTGTAAATAAAAATAATTCAATGTCTATGACTTTTTTTCCTAAGTTTGTGGTTGGTTGAACGAAACGAAAATATAAAGTAAATGCAGTGCTTTCCATTGAATGTGCTGTGAAAACTCATCTTGGTGAAAAAACGACTCAACTTCATATTTTCCCGGTTTTTAAATTAATTTGAATTAATTAAATGTCTTGCTTTAACCTAATTACGAACGGATAAGTATACGAGCTGCCTTTCTGGCATTAATTTTTGTTCCCAAATACCCCATTATGATAAAAATGATTTATCATTTGTTTTCTGTGATAGTAGGTAAATTTATTTCTAAGTATCACAATATATTTCCAGTGTACAGAAAGAAACATTAGTCTTGCCCTAACTCTGTATCAATCAGATTTGTAGTCAGTCATCACTGACTATAATTCATATATTTCCTTGATAAGCCCGAATTATTGACACGATGAAAGTGAAAAATGTTGCAGTTCATCTTATCAAAGTTAGTATGTTTAATATTAATGAAAAACAAGTACAAATCCGGAGTGTCTGATTCCATAAATGTCCCATTGCCTACTGTTAATCTTTTCTCCATTAAAAATATTTTTCATTTAAAAAAGATTTGTTCAGTAGAAAATTTAATTTTGAGAAGCCAGTTAAAAAACGGAGCCAAAAACTACGCACTGTTTATGGGGTCGATGTTGATTTCTTGAAGGCTGACAAGGCCATCTCTCAAGACCACATTTTCGTTCCAGAGTAGTTCCGTTACCTGGAAAAAACGCATAATTTAGTCTTCAGCTTTATGAACTATGGTTTTTCAGGATCATATGTAATTTCATGTATGAAGTAATTTCAGTCTCCTATGTATACGAAACGAATTGAACCAACGGCCGACAAACGTGAGATTTACACTGAAGCGAATATTAGTGTTTGGATGAATCATATTTCCACTATCTATACTTTGCTACAATTACAGAAATCTCTTGATTTATTTAACTTTTACCAGCTATATATGACTAACAAGTGATGCTCGTTTTAGTCCTAGATATTTGTCATCGTGTGGCCGTGGAGCCCCTTTTTTATAAAGGGTTAGATTTCGTGTTAAAATTATTTGTGTATGTGAGTGAAGCTGCTATCTATTACTGCCTCTAATATTAGTTAAATTTAAAAGTAATGAAGCAAATGTGTTCTTTCTACCATTAAGTATTTTAGTTACAAATAGTTATGCTTAAAGAAAGGCGTATGATTGGCGCTACCACTTTTCTAAAAAATTACTTCTAATGAGATCAATAAACCATGTTTGAAATTTGGAATATAATAACAGAACATATGTTTTTGTAACTATTCGTCAATATTATTATCTATATTAGTTAACTTAAAAGAATGAGCGTGAAATACGTGAATTTGAGCCACAGCTCAACGCAGTTCTGATTCGCATGTAGAAGAATGACCAAAAAATTAAAGTGTATTGACTTAATTAATTTTATGGACTTTAATTTTTCTAGCTATTCAAGACGCCCATATAAGCGTATCGCTGGTTTTCAATTTTTAATTAATTGTAAATCATCAAGAGCCTTTTTGGCTGGTTAATTATAACGTTGAATATGCATATGCTCATGATAATCCTCAAATTTTTGGATTACAGCGGCTGTGCATTACTTTATAACAATGTAGTTGAAAAATCCACGGGGGCAACAAGATTAATTTCAAATTCTTCGTTCAAATAAATGTGGCCAAATTTTATTATTACATGGTAGCCCATGTGGCCTTCTCTGCCTTGATCTTGAATTAATATTTCACATAAAAATTTGCTATTTGATTTATATTAGAAATAATATGAATTGACTGATATCAAAGTCAATTCCTGTAAATATTGTTATTTTTCTTAGATTGGTATTTATTTTTCTGAATAACGGTTACGATCTAGGCAGAGACTTCCGTACTAGAATATACGAGATGATTTTTCTTACGTATATAGGATATGCTTATTTCTTAGATGACTAAAATTACAACGAAAGAATTGAGCTATTCGTGTTCCTTCTACTTTGTTGCTAAAGATGATATCATGCCTGCCTCTGCCCTATTATATATAATATTTTATATTTATTTAACTAATGACCTAATTTACTTAATTTACTAGCACATGACCTAATTGCAGCACCACGTCTTCTGTTTTAGCACATCAAAGGTGCAGGATGAAAATTCTGATCTCTCTTTATAGCATATATCGGTTTTGGACGATAGTATTTTAATGTAATTAAGAAAGAAAATATGGCGAAATGAAGGAATGAACATTAGGCCATGTCTTAAGTTGACTGACATCTATTCCAGACACAGCACAATTTTTACAGCTACCTACCGGTATCGAGCCTGCAATTCACAGCTACAATCTTTCTTTTCTACCTTGCCTCTTACCGATTTCCACCAGAAATTTTACAGCTAATTGTGGGTTTCGAGGCCACAACTAGCTTTCGAGCCCTAACTTGGTGACCGTGACCACTTTGCCACCGCGATAGTAATAAAAATTTTCATGATTCATTTTCTGCAGTGCAATACTACATTTACTGATAGAAAACCAGGCTTTTTAACTCAAAATTTCGCTTTTGTGTAGAGAAGGTAAGGAAGAAATGATAACACACAACGTCGTATCTCATTTTCCATCAATTTAATTTACGTATCTTGCATAGTACAGTCTACGCTGGAACCATCTATCATTTCATTATTTGTTTATTCAAAATACTGCAATTATCAATGCCTCCTTATATATACAACAGTTATATGTACATGATACAGTTGTGATTATCACCATCTGCTCCTACATGTGAACAGTAATCTTGTATAGTAGAAATGACGTATTAAACGTAAAGCCTTAGTGTGTTTCGCTACAATAGCGAGATCGATTGCTGCTAATCTAATACAATTGTGATTAGCACCAGGTTTGCGATAACCTTGAAAACTTCAACTTGATGAAGGTGACAGCTCATGAAGTCATACTATCGTATCTTGAAACTACGTCCAGGATTTTGAGCAATTCATCATTAAATGAACTCAACTTCCTACAATATTTGGCACCCGGAGACGTCGCATTGCAGTTTTCCAAGAGTACCTTCAGATCTGATAACTTGAGCTTTATTGCCTCTAAGCTAAAATTTTCGGGCAAATTGCCGAACTTTTCTTCACTCCAGAGGTTGTATATCGTGCGCATCAGCGTCTTCACTGAAGCTTTAAGCGAGGAAAAACAATTTTTCTTGCTGTATTTCTGTTCTTTCGAGTCGCAATCTCTCAACAAGTTGTAGTAAACGCTACCCATTTCCATCATCGGGGGCTTCTGAGAGCTAGCAGTGTCGGTCACGAGATACTCATATGAAACAAAGTCGTCTTCTACATACTTCGAAAAAAGTTCTACGCGATCTTCGCATTTGGTCTTAGCAACCTTGCAACTGATAAAATCTCGCTCGATGTGCTCCAACTCTGATTTTTGATGCTCCGATTTCTCCAAAACCGCAGCAAAAGACGCGTTGTAATTTGAAAGAATTTCTTCGTACGAGCATATCTTGTCATTAGCATGGCGGAGGCTGTCAGAGCAAGAAACTTGATTTGCATAGCAGACATCAAGTTCGTACTGAAGACCGATCACAGTTTCTTCAAGTCTAAATTTCTGGGGCAGAAGTTCCTGTTGACTGATGCGTAGTGCTGAAATTTCCTCGGTTAACTGGTTCTTCTTACGCATGATTTCAGAAATTTTCATTTGCTGCCTACTAACTACAGAGTAGCAATGTAGGGAGCCATTGACAGTAGATAGAAGTTTCGACTTACAATCTTGATAATCCGCTGAGCTGGCCTCGAGAGCGCTCTGGCACTGACTTAAATTCTGGGTCTGTTCTTCTGTTGAGAGTTCGCAGGCGTTGGCCAGAGGATGGTCGTTGTTTCTAGCTTCTGTGCGGTTTCTTAATTCAGATTTCAATTGACTTATTTCTTTTTGCAAATTCGCCTCCGATTGCAATAATTTAATATTATCAGATTTTTTCGTCGACAAATCAGTCTGGCAGGATTTTAATGTTGAATTCGTCGCTTGGTGCTCGCTAATAAGAGATTCAAATTCTTGAGCCAACTGCAATTGCTGTCGGGATGTGTGATTATTGTTGATCATATTGTCTTCTATTATATTTAGTACCCTTACAATGGCGTGCTTCCGATTATTCAAAGCTTTCATGAGTGCATTTTGTTTTAGGAATTCCTTGCGCAGCGTTCTCACTTTTCGTTTAAGCGACACTTCGTTTGCTTGTAATGCGATGAAGGCTGGTGTTCTTTTTCCAACATGAAACCTATACTTGTAGTCTTCCAGCGTCTTCTCCAAACTAGCAAGCTTCTTTCCCATATTAAAGTTGGCATCCTTGAGGCATTCAATTTCTTTTTTGTCATCATCGTTGGTCATCATATAAAGTTCCATCCTCATAGTAAGCTCTGTGACATACTCTCTAAGTCCGGCGTTGTCATGTTTATAGTCGACGACCAAGTACCGGTTGCGAGGTTTCTTTATTAAGGAGCCTTCGGTCATGGCTTCTGGATCACACATGTAGACTTTATTATAATAATCTTTTTGGGTCTTATCAATCAGGCTTAGAGGTCCACTGGTGCACTTGTCGGTCAGCCGCTGAGGTGGGGTCAAAGATGAATGAGGTGTAATCATGAACAATGAATGAATAATGAATAAATAAATAGGTAAATAAATAAAAAAAACGTAAAAAAATAAAGGGAAGCGTGAATGAGTGAAGCGGTAATGGGTGACTAGTATTGTTATTGTGATTTGTGAGGTAGTATTTTTAATATAGTACCAGCTTCTAATATATTTGTAATTCATGAATAATTTAATATACAAAATATGTTAAGAAAATTCATTAGGACTTTAATAGTAACCAACTGCCAACATTCAAAAGAGTCTCCTATAGGTATTATAAGAGAAAGCCGATTATTTTTCCATGATTTTCGCTGCAGAAACCTAACAATTATTGACGTTATTATCAGAATGATTAAAATTTATTTAGGCTATTGACTGTTAAAGAATCTCTCACCTCTTCGATGGTGCGGCCATCAGCTTTTTGGAAGACGGTGGGTGGTTTTCTATCCAAAAACGAACCTGTTATGGGAAAACGGGCGAGTAAGTCTTCATATTATATTAACCTGTAGTCTTCATATTATTATAAAAGAGGGCTTTACTTCTTATCAGTAGCTATCGCACGTATAAAGACCTATCAAATAATAAAGAGACCATATTTCGTAGACAATATGACACACATAGCGTTGTGTTGGCTTAGTATTTTTGCTGTACAGAGCTGTTGTTGTGCTGCAAGCTACTTCATTTTGTCTATAGGCACTCGAGGTATAATTCACAAACAAATTACCAGGACTATATAAAAAACTGTGTGATTGAAGGGTCTACATTTTCATCGAGAATAAATACACTCATATACCAGTCAACTCGTTCTCACGTACGTGCTACTAATTATACTAAATTAATCTCAGTTCTATAAAATACGGAACAAGGTTGTCGCGGTTGATCCAACTCTCACTCATAGTGTTAGTTTAAAAACCAAGTCTGACATCTAAGATTCATTAAAAAACTAATGTCTTATCCCAATTACTATCATTCTAGAAAAATTAAATAGTATTTTAAAGGACTACCATTTTTTATCTAATAATTCGCTACGAGACTAAAAACGGACAACTTCTACAATAATACTAATTATTTGAGCGAACCTTCCTCGGACGTTATCTCGAGCAGAGAACCTGTAAGGCAATCAAATTTATTGACAACCAAATAAGTTCAACGAGGAAATAAATCGTGAATACTTGGACATCCAACCATGCTTTCACGGTACAAGTTTCCTCATCCAAAACATTCACGGTACAAGTTTCCTCATCCAAAACATTCACGGTACAAGTTTCTTCATCCAAAACAATCCAAAACATTCACGGTACAAGTTTTCTCGTCCAAAACATTCACGGTACAAGTTTCTTCATCCAAAACATTCACGGTACAAGTTTTCTTATCCAAAACATTCACGGTACAAGTTTATTCATCCAAAACAATCACTGTACAAGTTTCTTCATCCAAAACATTCACGGTACAAGTTTCTTCATCCAAAACATTCACGGTACAAGTTTCCTCATCCAGAAACATTCACGGTACAAATTTCCTCATCCAAAACATTCACGGTACAAGTTTCTTCATCCGAAACATTCACGGTACAAGTTTCTTCATCCAAAACATTCACGGTACAAGTTTCCTCATCCACAACATTCACGGTACAAATTTCCTCATCCAAAACATTCACGGTAGAAGTTTCTTCATCCAAAACATTCACGATACAAGTTTCTTCATCCAAAACATTCACAGTACAAGTTTCCTTATCCAGAAACATTCATGTTTCAAATTACCATGATTGACGCGACCATGTCAATAGGACATGATCACGTGGGCCTTTTCACATAGTCACATAAGACCATGAGTCATGGTCTTGAAGTGAGCCTTGTGTTTATGCTTCGTCTGCACATTAACTATAATGCAGCACGTTTAAGGAGCAAATGCGGATAGATTTAAACAAATTTCGATTAGTGCGACGGCGGATAAGAAACACATAATCGAATAAGACTGGATGAGTTTCGGTTTTGAAATAAGACCAATGATAATAATTTTCAATAAATAGCTACAAACCCATTATGGATCCTGCAGTTGAATATTACGTTCATTGTTTGATTCTCAATCATATGTGATTAAGTAGGTAATATTGAGGTACCATAATGATATCTACTCCAGTTAACTCAACGAAAATTTAAATTAAACAACGAGTTAAATTTACTGAAATTAGCGAAAACTCGAAAATGTCGAAGAAAATAATAAAAAAACTGCACTGTCATTAGTGATAAAATCTAAAACAGTGAGTGACTGTTATTTCAAGTGTTATTGTTGCACGGTGGTTATTATAACCAAAATTATTCACAGGAAGAATAATAACACGAGTCGCCCAGACTCAGCTTTCCCAAATAAATTTTCTTATTTGTGACTATGTTTAAATGGTTGTCGACTAAAACCATAAACTGATAATTTGTCTGGCAACGAGGCTTTCCTTCAGTAGACGAATGGCAAACCTTTTATTTACAGATACATTCACGGTAGTCAATGTTATTCATACCAAAAGGATTGTTAATTCCATTACATTACCGTTACATTACATTACCCTCACATTACATTACTGTTACATTACAGTAGCACTACATTACTTTACCGTTACGTTACATTACAGTTACATTATATTACAGTTACATTACTTTACAGTTACATTACAGTCGCGCTACATTACATTACCGTTGCATTACATAACAGTTACATTACATTATCATTACAATATATTATCGTTACATTACATTATCATTAAATTACCATTACATTACACTACCGTTATATTATATTCTCATTACATTACATTACCGTTACATTACATTACGGAGCGTTACATTAACGAATAATTACAGTATGCACGGAACACTTAAAAAGAAGCTTGACTCACCTCCAACATACATGCCCAGAGCGAGGGCAAGAACGGACAGCACGACGTACAGCATGCGCCAGTCGCCGGGCGGAAGCTCGTACGGATCTGCCAAGAAACTGCCCAACGAAATTTATTTATTATTATTTACTAAATATTTGGAACAACGAAATTTATTTATTATTATTAAATATTTGGAATAACGAAATTTATTTTTTATTATTATTGATTAAATATTTGGAATAACGAAATTTATCTAGTTTAGTTCTTAAATCTTTGGAATAACGAAATTTATTTATTATTATTTATTAAATATTTGGAATAACGAAATTTATCTAGTTTAGTTCTTAAATCTTTGGGATAAAGAAATTTATTTATTATTATTTATTAAATATTTGGAATAACGAATTTTATCTAGTTCAGTTATTAAATCTTTAGAAAATCTGTATCTGTATTTTCGAATAGCTTGTTCTGATTTTATATCTTTATGTATAAACTTTTTTGGACGTGGGAATGCAAGTGTATTTATTCCTATAAAATTTAGTGGTGCGATAATGATTAATATGTCTGAAATTTTCGTTCCACGGTAGGTTCCTTTGGTTTTGTGATCTTTATTCTTACTTTTAAAGAGTCCAAAATTTATTTCAAACTTAAATTATGGATAAGGGTTGCACGAGAAAATAGAAAGACTCCAATCTTTTAATTTGTCACATACCTACACCGACAATATTTGAGTAATACAATTAATCAAAAACAGTACATAGAAAACCAAAACTATTGCTAGCTTAAAAAATAATTTCTCAAATTCAATTCAAAAGTTCCGATAAAAGGCACAAAAAAATGAGGAGATATCGCACAAGTAGATCGCAATTCAATCCAGTGCATAACTCATCAGAAAATATTTTTAATTCTACAGGAATACTATTAAGCTTGATCTAGACGCACAAACTCACCGTTTGCGACCCTTAGTTTTCCCGGTGGTGTGAGCGGACGCTGCGGACTCACCGTTTGCGGCTCTTAGTTTTCCCGGTGGTGTGAGCGGAAGCGGACGCTGCGGACTCACCGTTTGCGACTCTTAGTTTTCCCGGTGGTGTGAGCGGACGCTGCGGCTTTCTTCGAAGACGTCCGCGAACTTCTGTCGGAGACACGCGGGGCCTCGGCCGCTGCTTCTGAACACACGTCCACAGAAGTTAAAATAAATATTTTAAATCCATTGATATAAGTGAAATTTGATTTTTTAAACCATTAATGGAAACTTTAAGTTAAAATCAGGCTTTTTAAATCCATTAATAGAAAGGTTAAGTTGAAATTTGAATTTTTTAAACCATTAATGGAAACGTTGAGTATTTGACCTTTGAAAATCAGGCTTTAAAAGCATAATAGAAACGTTAAGTTGAAATCAGGCTCCTAAAACCAGTAATAGAAACTGTAAGTTTAAATCGAAATTCAGGCGCTGTATAATTCACGAAATTGAGTATTTTAGGAGGAGTATTAATTTCCCTTGAGAATTTAAATCTGGCGCTGCATTGAGCACGCCACAAAATATTTTAGTAAGATTGTTTACTCCTAATGAAACAGCATATGAAGCGATCCATAACAAAGAACAGCGTATGAAAATGTAGAAATGAGGCCAAATTTTTAATTACTGCACGGAAACTTTTTATATGTGCGAAAATGATTGAAAAATGAGCAAGAAATATCCAAAAATCCAGAAAAAACCTTCGTTAGTAAAGCAATTAGAGCATCACTCAAATAAATCGAATTTAAACATAAGGGCTTGTTAAAAATCTGTTAAGACTGAGCAAGCGATAACAAATTCGTGAATTTCACAAAACCACACATAACGACAGGAGGAAGTTAAACTGTCAGTCCGTCACCGAATACCAGATTAGCGATGGTAGGTCAAATTCAAGTCACTTTTCGCAGAAAAAAATTTTTGATTCCCCGAAAAAGCCATTACACGACCGAGCGAATGATGTCACCGAGCGTTCCATAGAGGGCTAACTTAGTTTCATTAATATAATTGAAAGTGATTTGAAATGAAATCGGGTTTCATTAATTAAATTTAAACAGATTCTAAATGCTAACGATGATAACGTAAGAAATTACTTTGAACTTGAATGTAGAGATTTCAAAATTTTTCCCGAAACAACGCGGATGACGCTATATTGAATGTAATTTGAATTCGTATACTGAACGTACATTTCCTTTGTCACGTACCTGGCATCTCCGGGTCTAGGACCCAGTCTTCGTATTGCGAATATCCTTGCCACGAGTCTTGTGGACCTTCGTCCCAGTACTTCTTCTGTACATTAATTTTAAAGTACATCAACGGTCCTCCAGCCTCGTTTTGTACATAGCCCTGAGAGTTGTCGAGGTCATCCAGCGATTGCTCAACCATTAACGCTTCGGCGTCGGAGAGTTTCAAAGGCATTGATGGCATTTTATCTCCCTTGAAAGTCAAAGGGATAGAACATGTCCTTAAGGCTGATGATGAAGCAGAATATCCTCCTGGAGATTCGTTACTTCTGGTATCGTTATTTTCAGTTCTTGGTCCTCTGTGCTCCGTATGTTCTCCAAGCGCGCTGGTTTTATTTTCTGATCTTCGTTCGCTAGTTTTAGGTTCTGATCTTCGTACGTTGGTTCTATTTCTCACTTCTTGTGCATTGGTTGCAGGTTCTGATCTTCGTACGTTGGTGCTAATTCTCACTTCTTGTACATTGGTTGCAGGTTCTGATCTTCGTACGCTTGCTTCAGGTTCGGATCTTCGTACGCTTGCTTCAGGTTCTGATCTTCGAATGTTTGTTTCATGTTCAGATCGTCGTTGCTTGAATGTTTCAGGTCGAGGCATTTGCGCGTTGCTGGTTTTAGTTTTCTGTTCCAGAACAGTAATTTCAGGTTTTTGTTCGTGAGCTGTTTCGCATTGAACATGAATTTTACATTCTTCTTCATGAACGTTGGGTCCAGCTTTTGTAGCTGCGTGTGTCTCACTGACACACGCAGCCTCATCGGTTGTGTTCGCAAGAATAACAGCCGCCTCTACGGTAATGTTCCCTGGAACAACTGATCCCTCTTCGATTGAGTTCACGGGAAGAACGGGTGTGTCTTCGGATGTGTTCTCGGGAAGAACGGGTGCCTCTTCGGATGTGTTCTCGGGAAGAACGGGTGCCTCTTCGGTTGTGTTCTCGGGAAGAACGGGTGTGTCTTCGGATGTGTTCTCGGGAAGAACGGGTGCCTCTTCGATTGAGTTCACGGGAAGAACGGGTGTGTCTTCGGATGTGTTCTCGGGAAGAACGGGTGCCTCTTCGGTTGTGTTCTCGGGAAGAACGGGTGCCTCTTCGGTTGTGAGTGTTCTCGGGAAGAACGGATGTGTCATCGGCTGTGTTCTCGGGAAGAACGGGTGTGTCATCGGCTGTGTTCTCGTAAACAACGGGTGTGTCATCCGCTGTGTTCTCGGGAAGAACGGGTGTGTCATCCGCTGTGTTCTCGGGAAGAACGGGTGTGTCTTCAGGAATTGAACCAAATATTAATCCTCTCATAAATTGTTCAAATTTGAATTGTTCAACTAAATTCTGCTTAGAGGACACATTTGGTTCTTCGCATTCGTGGTTTTTCTCTTCAGTTTTGAGCGAAGAATCGGTGTGGCTGTCGTCATCGGAGCAAGACCTGCTATCTGACTCTCCAATAAATCCATTATTACCAATAGCTTCTAAATTACTTTCCACCATATTTAATTGTAATTCGTTAGTTGACAGATATCCTTCATTTTCCGATTTACTAATCTCAGCTGCCGCCTCCTGAACAACAGCTGTACCTGGTACTTCAGATTTACCTGAAGCTCTTTCGACACATTCATGGGGAATCAATGAATTACATGAACCATCTGATCCAGCAGGTTCCGTGGTATAATAGGTGAAATCTCCACCCAACCGCTCAAATTCCGCAAATTCTTCTCCTCCACATGATGTGGAGGACTCCATTTCAGTTTCAGAGGATGACGACATGGCTTCACTCGAACTGCCATGCAACGCTACGTCACTCAGACCATCAGAGTTGGAAGTTCCTGCTTTACCATCCGTGGCGCCGGTAGTGGAGGTTGAACTTGCCACGCTAAAGCTAGAATTCAGGGACAGATGTGCTGGTGATGGCATACCAGCTTGCATTCCAGATTGGGAGTCCAAGAAATCCTGATGTGAATTCAAGATCTCGTGAATAGATTCCCTGAAATTCGTACCGTCTTCACCGAAAACAACGAAGTCATCCATTGCGTTGGACTCATCGCCATGCAATATCTGGGCAGCACGGTTGAGTAATCTTTCGCTTTCATCGCAACACTTTAAGAACTCACGTTCATCTTCGCCAGCTTCGAGTATTTCACTTTCTTCGATGGCATCAGCATGGGTTACATACTCGGTGTCTGACGAAGTAGAACTGCTTATTAGCTCGAAACTGTCTTCGGAACTAACATCGTCGTCAATATTTCGAAGAGGAAGAGAGGCATATGTGTTTCTTGTTCTTGTTGTTTGGGTGACTTCGCTTAAAGCAGCTAAGGGTAAGGTAGAGCACACGGCACGCGGTTAGAAAACAACAATCAATGAAGAAACCATCAAGATATTAATTAATATGGCTGTTAGAACAAACGACTAATCAAAGCCAAAACAACAGGAAATTATTATGTACACTCAAGATGATTACTTTCAGCGATTAATAAAGTGATGAGGAGAATTTCAAACAAAAAGCAAAGTATTCACAAAATAAAGAGAGTTTATATTGGAATTCCAATCGATGGGCTGCTTTTAATATCAAATAATGGAAGAAATAACGTTCAGGACATGGGGTAATTTCTTACAGAAATAAGTTTCTGAGAGAAGATGAAGAGAAAACAAATTCTGATTTTACACATCAAATAATTTGGCAGTCGAAAACCTACGTCCTCAAACCAAGGGGCTACCAACACAACCTATCTTAACACTCACCCGCACACAACACAAATATTTACACAAACTCACTCACACACAACACAACTATGTATACACACTCACAACACAACTATGTATACACACTCTCCCACGCACAACACCCTAATGCGTACCTACACAATCACACACATGCACACAACACAGCTATGTATACACAGCTGAGCTTTAAGACTACAAATCCCATTCACTCCATCACAAACTCGTTCCTAAACTGCTGTATTTCACGAATAAAAATCACTAAGAACAATAAAACGAAATCAGTAAAACAACTAAACTGCACCACTAACAACAGCTAAGCTGCACCACTAACAACAACTAAGCTGCACCACTAACAACAACTAAGCTGCACCACTAAGAATTTACTAAATTTTGTAAGGCCAGGATAATTTACTGGCTTATACGACCGTTTCGTATTTAAGTTAATTTCCATAAAAATTTTCTACAATTCCCGTTTTTGCAAAAAAATAGGTAAAGTAGTGCAAATTTTACTATTTCAGTAACTATAAATAGCACGGTCCAATTTGGCCATTTCAATCATGATAAATATAATTATCAAATTTCAACCATTTCAGTCGTAGAAATATCATTATCCAATTTTACGATTTCATCCATTATAAATATCCTGATCCGATTTGACCATTTCAGCCATTATAGACCAATAGCAAGATCTAATTTGGCAATTTCACTCATAGAAATATCATGATCAAAGGCTAAACTAAAGTAAAACAAAGGCGTGGAACTAAAGTACCGCGCGGGGACCTTGGTAGACCGCGGGACTGGGGTCTGGTGGGGCTGACCGTACGCCCCGGGACATGGGGAACGTGATCTTCACCACCAGACATGCTGGGTGAACACCACAACCCTTGCATTTACTCTATAAATTAAAGCAATAATACCTGAAAAATTAAAATTATATCTAATCTACATCATTCATCAGATAACGTCCTGAATCCTTTCATTTGCTCAATAAATTCAAGTAAAAATTCCTAAAAATATTATTAAAAAAATTAGAATGATATCGAATCTGTATCATTCATCAGATAACATCCTGACAAGGATGAACGTTCTTTTTCATGTAAGTTTGCATTTTGTCGAATCATCTCTCCCCATTTATCAATGATTCAGCTGAATATAGATTTGCGATAGATCATATAGATTTGCGCGAGGGCTGATATCTCTAAGCGTCTCGATGAATCAATTCACACATTTATTACAGGCTTGATAATACCTGAGGCTAATATCAATCCCTAAAAAAGATTGAAAGACACGATAAACGTAGCATTTTCTCATTCATTCATCGGAGGACATTAACACCGTTGATTCATTCCCTGCAAAATCTACTGTTTGTAACATTATCCTCATATCCTACGTATAATAATACCCTATACCCCTCCCCTCTCACGTACAATGCGTATAACTTTACAACGTATAACTCACGTACAACGTTTAAATTCATTGGCACCACTGTCAGTAACACTAACATGCACGTAGCCAAGTAACACATAACATAAGTAACACAGTGGGAGAACTCGCTTGTAACTCACATTTTGTCGGTTATAGCTCTTTTTATATACGTACAGATATATGTATATCTTCAATGTTATCTTTAATTTTATTGAACTCACGCAAAACAAGACTTTTAACATACCTTTCAGTTCCTCTGGTTTTGTGGTGTCATTGTCTGCGGGTTTGGTTTCTTCCAACTTTGTGGTTTCTGAATCGGCGGTTTTGGATTCATCCGATTTTATGGTTTCTGAATCGGCGGTTTTGGTTTCATCCGACTTTATGGTTTCTGAATCATTGGGTTTGATTTCTTCAACGGGCACAGCATCTGTCGGGATATTGGTTTTATTAAAATTAAGTTACAAAAAGGAAACTTATGTGTTTTTTTTCTCACAGGTTAACTTGGCTTATAAACATGAAGCGATAATAGAAACTGGTTGGTTATTGATTCCAAAATTTAAAGTTTCCATGGGATTCACATGAAAAGATCCGTAGTAACTTTTGCTTGAACACTGAAATTTTTAGAAACCATCATTAGGTTTCTTAAGAATGAACACAACTCAAGCTGTGGTCATCTCAATTGAATTATATATCCAAGATTACATGGGATTAAACAAAAAGAAAAGTCGCAACGTTATTACGACTTTCTAAGTCGAACATGACTAGGAACTATCTTAAAGTTTCCTGGGAAGGAATACGACTCAAGTTGTGAACATTTATACTTATAAAAAATGATTAATAGTTATTGTGATTCAGAATTACACTGATTTATAAGTACTTATCATTGTTTGCTTAAATCGCAAGTTCTTAAGGAATTTAAAAGCAAAGTAAATGTTAGTAAAATTCATTATACCTGCGAAGAAACCGTTCCGGAGACAAGCTCCATCATCATGCAGTGCACAACATCAGCTTTTAATTGAAGAAATAAAGAATTTACGATGCGTTTTCTTTGCTTTCAAATTCTTAATAAATTAATATTATAACGAATTACAAATTAGCAAAATTAAATTGAAATTTTAACGAAAATTAATTCTAGTTAAAATGAATTCTAGTTAAAATGAATTCTAATAAAAATGAATTCTAGTTAAAATGAATTCCAGTTAAAATGAATTCTAGTTAAAATGAATACTAGTTAAAATGAATTCTTATTAAAATGAATTCTAATTAAAATGAATTCTAATTAAAATGAATACTAGTTAAAATGAATTCTTATTACAATGAATTCTAGTTAAAATGAATTCTAATTAAAATGAATTCTAGTTAAAATGAATTCTTATTATCATGAATTCTAGTTAAAATGAATTCTAATTATAATTTAAACTCACCCCCCTCAGCAGGAGTATCTTCAAAAGCTTGGGTCTCCTCGGCAGCCCCGACGTCCTCGGGCGCCAGCTCCTGTACTCCTGTATTCTCTTGACCAGCTTCCATCACGGCCAAATTAACAACAGATTATCTGCAATGAACAAAACCCGGCTTAAAATTCGAGAATTCGTTTATTTTCACGTTAATCATGATTGATTTTGCATACATAGTCCAACTCAACGGTGTGCTGATTGTTGTAATCGACATCGGCATGAATATGAACGGTTTTGTAAAAGTCGTTTTTTTAGAAACCTTCTCATCGCACCTGATGAGAATGCATTATACGTAATTCCCTAGTCGATATTATACAAAATTTCTGAATCATTTGTATAATATCAATTGTTTTCTCGCTTTAGCGTTAGTTCATAATTTTCAGTCAAATATTAAATGTTAAGTGTTAACAAAAATCATCTGACTTTTACTTCTTGTATAAAAAAATTAATTATCGCGTTTTATGTATTAAACAGGGGAATAGACGGCGAGAGACAAACGACCACCAAAAATATGCACAAATATTAAATTTCATTTAAGTTCCAGTAAAATTTGACGACCAGTTCCTCTAGAATTTTGATCAGTTTCCTGCAGGTCGACGGTTTACGATCATAATTCTGACTCAGGTTCAAAAGATTCTAGATTCATTAAGGGCATTACTTCTTACACATTATAAACCTATTTATTACCTATTAATGGTACCATTAAAGAAATGGTCAAATAATTGAGACAAGTCATGAGAAGAGCGCTGAAGAGAACGACTTGCTTTCGTTGCGATTAGAGCTAATTATACAGAGAGAATAATAATTATTATTCTCTTATACTAAGATTATTTTTATTTTTCTAAGATTATTATACTATTCTTGTACTAAGCTAATTATACCAAGATAATAATTGAGAAATTAGTGACTAAAATAGTATAAACAATGTAAGGAATATGGATAAATTAGTTCGATAGCACACACACGCAGCGTGTGAACTGCCAAGCGTTCAGCTCACGTGACGTCATCACACACGTTGCCCTGCCAACAACACCCGGCTGAGTCGTGCGTGTAATAGAATAATCACATGACGCAAGTTATATCAACATACGTTATGTGACACGAGCAAACATGTGGCGTAGCAACATAATAATCACATGACGCAAGTTATATCAACTTACGTTATGTGACATGAGCAAACATGTGGCGTAGCAACATAATAATCACATGACGCAAGTTATATCAACTTACGTTATTATACCATACAAAATACAATATAGTATTAATACAAAATCGAGTAAATCTAGCCGATCAATATGATATTCAAGTCAGCTTGACTCTTTGGCATCAAGCGTCTACTTTGTGACGTACATTCAGGCTTTTTTAAGGCTAAAATGTAAGTGAAAATTAGTTTTGGGTGTTAAATCATACGATAATATTGACATAAATAAGCGAGCATATAAGTAAAAATACCTAGTAATAAGTTTAGAGCGGAAAACACAATTTAAACGTAAAATAGGAATTCCAATATAAATCTTATATACATCAGAGATCAAGAGTACGTCTCGCCTCTTGCGCTTGATAGAGTATGAAATGTGCATTTTTGCAACTATTTATTCACTTAATCCTGAAATATATGCATTATACATTTTTCATTCCAGCGTAGAACTTTCTAGGTTATAATGCCGTGTTCTGGAATGCTGTCACTTCATCGCGAGCTGCTATACGTGCACAAGGCCGGAGAAAACAAAACAACCTTGAGACCATTACGACCACGTCAAGTTAAAGTCTGTATGATTGAAATATATTACACAATATATAATATTACATAATATATTACGCAATATATTACATAATATTACGCAATATATCACAGAATATATTATAGGCAAGTGTACAGTCAGAAAAAAAAAGCGATGTCAGTGTACAGTCAGAAAAAAAGCGATCCAAAAAGCGATGCTCTTCTTCTACTTGTGTGCGTCATCCTGACCCTATAAATATGGCCAGGCATGAGAAAATATAAAAGATACGTGCAGAAAGCGTGTCACAATTTGAACAATGTGACCCTCTGATTTTTCTCAGTGATAGGCATTTTCTCCACGCCTTCCACCCACGCAAATGGGGAGAAACGAGAAGTCGATCGATCAATCTTCCGCGAAATAGGCAGAAAATGTTTGGGGGATGCGGAGTATGCGAAGGACTGATGGGGAAAATGGGGAACCATCAAATGGTTACACGGACATCAAACGACACATCACATCCTTCATCAACGAAGAGGCAACAATTACAGAAAAAAATAGTATTTCAGGTGCAAGTTTCAGGTCTTCGTCGCCTGCATCGCACTCACCGCAACAAGTGGAACTATCTGTCTTTGTCATTCAACCATTATTGTCATTTTTCACGTGTTTTATCAGTTATGTATTAGGCTGGAGAATCTATATGTTCAGTTGAAGGTATCTCATGCGTTTAGCTGTATAGCGTTTATATAGGCAAGGCAAACAGTGTTACGTATCCGTGCTACATTTGCTCTCTGTTTGTACTAAAGGTATTTGATATCACTATTTATAAAAATTGTACATTTATCGCGGTGTATAATTTTCATGTGATGGTGAGTGCCAGCATGAATTGCACTAAATAGTCAACTTAGCATCAACTCAACTCAACGATTTCAACAGGGTTGGTCGGGAACATGAACAGTCGTTTTTTATTGATAAATTTTTATAGATAAGTGAAAATCACATAGGTATTTCCATCATTTGAAAACGAGTTGTTTGTAATTTTTTTAACGAACCTAACATTTTTAGACCATAAATCCCTTTAATGTTTAATGGAAACACTCCCTATTATCATTACTTGAAACACTCGTTTAGGAATTAACATCGAACGTAGCAAACAATAAAGATTCTGTCATTCATACACATAAACGGTACCATTTTGTTCATAAACATGAATGAAATTCATCATTTAATTCACAATGGCAGCCAAACTTGCAGTCATGAACAGACTGGACGTGAGCCTACCTAAACATGTACATCACTCCAGCCGGCCTATGCAGACCTATAGCACATTGCGATCGTGATATGCATACATAATATGCATAGATGCATTGTATATTATACATATTTTTCCATGTCCATAGGTGATCAGTGCAAACGAATATAGAATAGACGAATCGAGGTAAATAGAAAGTCCCAATTCAACTTATAGAATCAGAATGTTTTCTCATTAAAACTTCTAACAAGAAAGATGAGAAGGCTGAGTCTCGTCATAGCTATGTCAAAGTAAAAATGAGTACAAAAATCATTATGGATTCATGATGAATAGCTTTTAACATGAAAAAATAGAAGCTGTACAACTTACGTTATGACGAGGAAAATAATTACTTCATGTTACGCATGAAAATAACGCCCAATCAGTTATCGGACAACTATATTTTTTAACAAGAAAAATAATCTCATGGTGCAGCAGATAAAATTTACATGGAAACACTGCGAAGTCCTCAAGAACTGGCGTAATATTGCCTCATTGAGATGTAACTAACTTACGGTTTTACCGTAGCGTTATATATCGTGCACAATATTCATCTCCTATAATGTAATAAACACTGTAATGTTAAGTAACATATGCTAAGAACTCAGTAGTGTTGAATAATAGTCAACATTAACCTCAGGGAGCTGTAACTATATAACGTAATAAACACTGTAACGTTAACATGCTAAAACACAGTAGTGTTGAACAATGTTCACAATATTAACCTCATGGAGCTGTAACCATAACGTATTAAACACTGTAACGTTAAGTAACATACTAGTAACGCAGATAGTGTTGAATAATAGTAATTATAACGTAATACACACTGTAACGTTAAGTTAAGTAACATGCTAACAACGCCAGTAGTGTTGAATAATGTTCACAATATTCACCTCATAGAGCAGCAAGTAAGTACAAGGAGCAGCAGTAACAGTGTCACACTGCAAGACGAGTTTTGTACTCAAAAATCCCTGTAGGCGACATGACAACTACATATATACGGCGCTGGACAGACTCCGCCTACAAGCTACAGCCCCTATACCAAAACGGGGGAACCTCCCGGCTTACACTGGCCTCCCTCATTCGAAATGCAAATCGGCTCATATAAAATAAAAATACGAAGTTTTTCTAACAGAAATGGTAATTTGTACAGGTCAATAAATATTGATGGTTTTATCCGACTTATATTTTTACAGCCAACGACCGCATGGAAATGGCTGGGGAGGGGGGGGGGTTTGAACGCATCAGCCAGAACTAAAATATGACCTCATCTAAAATTTTACACTGATAATTGGTTTTAATATATGTCAATAATAATCATTGGTTAAAACTAACATTTGTACCGAAACGTTCAAAATTGTACTAATATATAAGCTTCAAAAGTCGAAATTCTAGAAATGCTTCGACAGTCGAAACCTGGAGAATGCATGAGGTATAGGGCACTAGCTTAGGCCTAGCAGAATAAGCCTACTGATTTGAAACGAGACAAGTCTTTCTCACGTACGCGAGCTGGCTATGAATATGTAAGATGAGAAACTGGTGCATTAACAGTTACGAAGACAGATGAAGCTCTGTGTCAGTTGTCCATAGATAACGGCTGCGTGGCTGGGTGACATGTTACATATGTAGGTAAAGGCCGCATAGCTAGGCAAGACGAGTGATACATTATCAAACTATACATCAAGTTCTTCGCACAAACAACAAAAAAGACAGTTTTTGATAATCAGCATGACTTACTTATAATATACATAAAGACTATCATACATGCATATGAAAATAAATGTTTTGTGGCCTCCTGTTTATTTCTCAACCACCTAGTCTACATACTTACAATAAAGAAAAACACCCTCACGTGTCAATGGGGATGCTTATTTGTAACCTACCAGACGACTAACTTATCATGCAGACAGGACGTTCTCACAGCTGAGATAAAATTATACTATTTCATAACCGGCGTGATTACTCTCGTATATAATGAACCCATGACTTGAATACTTGTATAAAACGAACATAGATTTCTAACCTGAGACTACTTGCTCATCGTTAAGATAATGAGTATCAATCACATATTCAAGATAATCATGTTTCTATAACACGTGAGACTGCTTACACATCATTAAGATAATGACTTTGTCACGTATCAAAGAAAATGTCATTACAATAAGTTGCTATTCAACACGTACAATTGAATCATCAGAAGTAAACAAAGACGGAGCAGCGCGCACGTGTTCAAGAGTGGTGCGTTGATACATTATTCCCTTACATATACATCACAAATATTAACAGGTCTATGAAAAATAGAATATAAAATATACATTATACATATAATAAATATGTTACAGAAACATAAAAACAGAGTAATACAATTACGATTGGTAAGGCCTATCTCCGGATGTGGCAATAGCTAATGCTGTATACTATACGGTATATATAAGGCTATAAATATTTTCACTATTTATAACCAAGACAGGAACTGAATTTAAAAATTACTGAGCTGTTCATAAAATCATCGGTTCATTATTTATTCATTATTAATTAAGCAGGGTTTAAATGTACATACACTGTCAAAATAATTAATTCCAACACACCCGAGCTGCGCATTAAATCATCGTCTTATTATTAATAATACTAAGTTTTAAATGGACATACACATTATAAAAATAATTAATTCCAACATACACACACACTCACACACACACACACACACGAGCTGAGTACACAAAGAAGAGAGAAATTTGGGCGGGAAAAAATGTCTTGGAGATCAGCTGGAGACGTTTAGGTCGGGGTTGTAAATTAACCGGCGTTCTGTCGCGTTCTCTTTAACCCCCTCCCCTTTAAACAAAGAAATGGGGGACATTTCGGATCATCATTTCTCTTGCTCAACTTTTGTTTAGATAATTTGGGCTTAATATTCAATAACCCTGAAAACTCCATATGATTATGACCTTAGAAAGACTTATATTATAACCTTAGAAAGCTTATTATAACCTTAGAGTGCCTCATTATAACCCTAGAGAGCCATATTATAACCTTGGCGAGCCTTATTATATTAGCCTAAAGTTATTTTGTGAGCATTTATTCCTGGTATTCATTGTACACAAGTCAGTTTATAATGAAAGAACAAAGCTGATAAATTTCCCATGCTGCCACCAGAGCTGAGTGGACCAAAGCGTTTCAAATTTCAAGTAACCACAAAAGTCTTGGAGAATTCGACTTTTAATATCAAAGGTATTTTAGCAAATGTAGTTAATTCAACAAGATGGGATCAAGGTAACATTTATTATAACTATAAGGATAACAGTTTTTTTTAAAGGCAATAATGATTCAAATGAAGGAACAATGTCGTAACCAATGAAGAAGATGTTACAATGTCCAAACAAAGAGACAAAGATAGCTAGGCGTAGGAGGAAAAGGTAGCTAGTTAGAAGGTAGGTAGAAAAGGTAGAGAGGTAGGAGGAAAAACCAAAACAAAGGAGTAAAGCTAGGAGGTGGTTGGGAGGGGGAGAGGGGCGGGGGTCAGTAGGCATACGGACACAAGCCTGGCTAGGCCTAACGTGTTGTTGTCCGAGGCCTACACCAGGGGAGGTCGTATGCACGGCGGGCG